CGACAGGTGCTACTTAACCCTCAAAAGGTTATATGCGGCGGTCCACCATGGCTCCAATAAGAATTTCTGTGTCGGATATGACGTTGTAAAATACACACTTACAGCTACAAAAGAAACAATAAGAAAAAGTTTCTCAGGGACGCGTCAAACCATACTCTAAAAATGGTCTGTTTGACGCAAGGCCAAGACCTACGTTAAGTGCAGGGATGCCGTCAGTTCGTGGAAAGAAGAAGGAAACGCACGTTCATACCATGGGACATAGTGCTGTTGTTGTAGGGACAGGGATAATGTTGATCTCTAGTGGACCACATGAAAAGTTCGCGAACTTGTGTGATCTGTTATTCTCTGGAACCATATTGTTATTACCAGGCCACTCTTTTCTCAGGCCCGACGTGTTGATAGAGATCGTGGGCGCGTGTAACTAACACTACTCTATTCATTTTCTTCGTTCAGCCTTTTACTGCTTTTTGAACACTTTTGACGGGATAAGACATTGGCATCGTCGTCATGCACCGCATAAAGTCCAAATCAACAACAGCCCCCGCACGTCGTATAGTCTCATGCGAGCGGGAGCTACGAACGTGGCTGAAGCGAAGGTGAAACAAGCCGACCCATTTCAGTTGCACCAAAGGCGCATGCAATAACTTTACCGGCGTGCTAGGGTTGCCATCGACTGCCCGTGTTGTAGAACGTCTGGGCTACGGGGAACAGACGGAAGCTGTTATACGACCAAATTGGAAGATAGCCGGCAAAGGAAAACTTGAAAAAAAATAAAATTATTCCTTAAAACAGAATTTTAATAGTAAAACTTGCCATGTAAAGAACTGCTTAGTTGCTTTCGATTTCCCTCTTGTGCTTTCCCCGCAAGTTTGCTTTTAAGTTACACTAGTTAATTAAAGCACGAACGTTACTTCGCGTCCTGCTGCGGTCGCATTTACGAATAAAGCACGCTATGCAAACACGAAGTCGTAAGAATTGCGACAGTTTTTCACGGTCGTCCTACGCACACCTGTGCGCTCATTTCGTGAGCCTTTCTGTTTGAACAGCATGCTTCAAGTGTCGAGCTGTTACAAACGTTTGTTTCCCGCTTGTTTTGTGTCAGTTCATTTCGTGCGTGGTTCTTGTTGAGTTGTGCGCTGCGTGTTTCCGGCTGCTTTTCGTTCTTCGTGTGACATTGCAATTTGTTTCTATAGCATTCAATTTCTCGCCCTAAAGGAGAAACAATGCCCAACGAATCCTCAACTACCGCGGTGAGGAGACGTTTCACTTCCGTCTTACAGAGATTCCTGAAAAGAAGGATCAGTAAATTTCTTTTTTGCAAGCATACAAACTGGGGTGGCGGGTAGCCTCACGATCAGCAAGCATGGCATACTTGCATGCTGTGCACACACTTGACATATTTTCAGTGCTCCTTGTTTCTGGAGCATGGTGTATAAAATTAGTGTACAGACTGATGCGTATGATCAACGACCAAAATCAACGGCATCTATCGTGGCCTGTCACCAGCTGTAGGATAACTCGTTACTGCGTCCATACCATACGTATAGTGTGTTAATATATAATAAGGATTCATAGTCGGTATGAACCATAGGTCAGTTTTGTGCGGTGCATACGATTCTTTTTCCTTCTCAATTTGTATAGGCATTGCTGCACCGACGTTCTTTTTTTCTAAACTTGTCTGTTCGATCGTAACAATGTCGCATAAAGATTGTGTTCGCGCGTGTGTATTCGTGCTGCTCAGTCTAGTTTTTTGAAATTTAGCTATTGCTTCGTACGACAATATCGTAGAAAAGCGAGGCAGTTAATGTTTATTGGTATTAGACGAAATGCCTAATAAAGAACCAGAACCCGTTCTCGACGTTGGCCCCACTTTGTCAAAGGATGACCGACAGAGACTTCTTCAGCTGCCAGCCGAATTCCGCGACTGCTTTTCATCGACCTTTTGAGTTGGTCGAACACCTTTGACAAAGCATCAAATAATCACCGAGGACACGGCGAGACCTATTCACCAGAACCCTTATCGTGTAGCTTTAAAGGAACGCGAAGCCATACAACAACAAGTCGCGAAAATGCTTGAAGATGATGTAATTCAACCGTCACAGAGCCCCTGGGCATCGCCTGTAGTGCTAGTAGAGAAAAAGGACGGCACGCTGCGTTTTTGCGTGGACTACAGGAAGCTGAATCGGGAGACCAAAAAAGATGTGTACCTGCTCCCACGTATTGATGACTCCCTTGACAGACTACGGCACGCTCGCTACTTTTCTTCCATGGGCTTGAGGAGTGGATACTGGCAGATTGAGGTAGACCCAAGAGACCGAGAGAAAACCGCTTTTGTGACGCCAGATCGTTTATACGAATTTAAAGTCTTGCCTTTTGGTTTGTGCTCCGCTCCCACGACTTTTCAAAAGCTTATGGACACGGTACTTTCGGGATTGAAGTGGAAGACGTGCCTAGTATGTCTGGACGACGTTGTAGTGTTTTCAACCACTTTTGACGAGCATCTCAAAAGGCTGGAAGTTGTTTTACGTGCCATAAGGTCGGCCGGCCTAACACTGAAACCGGAAAAGTGTCATTTCTGTTTCCAAGAACTTCAGTTTCTTGGTCACGTCATCAGTAACGCAGGCGTCCGGCCCGACCCTGGAAAAATTGCCGCTGTCGCACGGTTCCCAGTACCCTCCAATAAGAAGGTTGTCAGACGCTTTCTGGGCCTTTGTGCCTATTATCGCCGGTTTATCACAGACTTTGCCCGCATCGCGTCGCCACTAACTCGTCTCAGAAGAGAGGACGATGCCTTTGAGTTGAACGAAGAATAGGAGGCTGCCTTTAATGATTTACGTCAACGTCTTCAAACGCCCCCGGTGCTTGCCCACTTCGACGAAGAAGCCCCGACGATGCTTCACACAGATGCTAGCAATGTTGGTCTGGGAGATGTGCTTGTGCAGCATCAAAAGGGCACAGAAAGGGTAATAGATTACGCAAGCAGAACGTTAACACGCGCTGAGGCTAATTACTCTACAACTGAGGAGAAATGTCGCGCCGTTGTATGGGCAGTTTTAAAATTTCGCCCATATTTATATGGCTGCCCCTTCAAAGTAATTAGCGACCACCACTCGCTGTGCTGGCTAACAAGTCTAAAAGACCCTACCGGGTGACTAGCGCGTTGGAGTCTCAGGCTGCAAGAATTCGATAAGATAGTCGTACATAAGTCAGGCAAGCGACATATGGACGCTGACTGTCTGTCCCGTTCACCCATTGAGTCGGCAACCCTACCTGAAGAGGAGGAAACAGCATTTCTCGGTGTCCTCGACACGACCGCCATTGCACAGCAACAACGCGACGACGCTGAGTTGCTTCGCCTAATTAACTACTTGGATGGCAGATCTCAGAAGGCGCCAAGAGTTTTCGCAAGAGTGTTTTCATCATTTTGTTTACGGGACGGAGTACTCTACAAAAGAAACTTTTCGCCGACGGGATCCACCTATCTGCTCGTCATCCCAGCAGCCCTTCGTTCCGAAGTACTCAAAGCATGCCACAACGAGGTGAGCTCTGGTCATTTGGGTTACACGAGAACGTTGGCCAGAATACAGCAAAGGAATTACTGGCCTAGACTAACCACAGCCGTGAAGCACCACGTCCGTACCTGTCTCGACTGCCAGCGACGCAAGTCACCACCGACTAAACCAGTTGGCCTTTTGCAACCCGTACAGTCCCAACAGCTCCATTCTACCAGATCGGCATGGACATTTTGGGCCCACTACCTACTTCTACAGCAGGGAACCGCTGGGTTATCGTCGCGACGGATTATCTGACCCGTTATGCCGAGAAAAAGGCTATCCAGAGAGGTACAGCAGCGGATCGAGGTGGCAAGATTTTTCATTGAGAACATTGTACTGAGGCATGGTGCACCAACCGTTGTGATCACAGACAGAGGAGCCGCATTTATGGCACCTCTTTTGGATCACGTCCTCATGCTGAGTGGAACAGCGCATCGTAAGACCACTGCCTACCACCCACAAACGAACGGGCTGACAGAGCGTCTAAACAAAACCATTGAAGACATGCTTTCGTTGTACGTAGACGTTGAACACAAAAACTGGGATGAAATATTGCCATACATAATGTTTGCGTACAATACGGCCAAGCAAGAAACGACCACCTGACCCCGTTCAGCCTCGTTTATGGACGAGAAGTACGAACTCTGTTAGATGCGATGCTTCTGCACGAAGGTGACGGCATTGACACATACGCCAACACCTTTACGGAACGTGCGGAAGAAGCTAGGCAACTTGCTCGTTTACGGATCCACCAGCAACAAGAGTACAATTCAGGCCGCTACAATGCTCACCGCCGAACAGTAGTGTATCATGCTGGCGACAAAGTGTGGGTTTGGACACCCGTACGGAAACGAGGACTTTCCGAAATGCTTTTAAGAAGATGCTTTGGGCCATACCGAGTGCTGCGACAACTTAGTAAGGTTACTTACGAAGTTGTTCCCGATAGTTCGTGTGGTACCAAGCGTCGCCAGCACCACCCTGAACTCGTTCACGTAGTGCGCATGAAGTCTTACGTCAGCCAGTGATTGCGTGAGACTTTTCTTTAAAAAAAAACTGCATTATTGACTTCACATCGGGTCGATGCTCTTTGAGAGAGAGAGAAATGACCCGTGTCTGCGTGTGAACGACAACGATGATGTGGGCATTTAGCAGACACCAGGTAGTGGGCCTCTGGCTTTACTCGAGAACAAAGAAGACAATCTTGTTGCTCAGCTGTTGAAAACACCCTGATTTCGCTGCCTCAAGGCGTACTTGTGCTTTGTTCACGTTGTACTGCGACAATATAACTCATCACATATACTAGAGTCGCATGCTACACTTGCTTGGTATTGTCTCCCACTTTTCAACTATTTGCGCGTGCACAGACCCCCGGTTGGTAAATTACCGTTATGCATATTGGGAAAGAGGGCACGTCTCTGAGCGCACTTAGTAAACAGTGTTGCTCACCAAGAATCCTCGAAAGAGTCGTGGTCCATCGATGTTGGTTGAGAGCGGCAGCAGGTCATCCATTAGCAGAGCCAGGGCAATGTTAAACGTCACAGACAACAGCATGACCAGCAGCACCGAAGCTAGGCTGGGCACTTCCGGCTCTGACATCACGTTCACCTGGTCCCACTGCATGCCCGCAACTGTGCATAATGAAACACAGTGCGATTGGTCAGAAAAGTATCTCATGCTTTATAGGCTAGAGGTGAACGCACCCTGTTTCGCTGTTGGTATAAGCGAGGAAAACCATGCCGATGACAAAGGAGACTTGCGCATTACGCACGCCCTACTAGATCGTAGACGTATGCATTGGTGAAACCCTCTCACCTACCAATGCTAATTTTGGTATATGCCAAGTTAAATATGCGATCACAAATGCACCCAGACATAAATGGATAGATAGATAGATAGATAGATAGATAGATAGATAGATAGATAGATAGATAGATAGATAGATAGATAGATAGATAGATAGATAGGCTCGAAGAACCTGTTGATAGCTATAATGCTTCACCTTTAAATACAAGAGTCTTCCTGAAAGTATATTCATCAGCAATAATTTTGTCCTGTTATGGGCAGGCCGCACATAGTTTTCACTCCAGAGGAGCAGTGCCACCATTATGAGCGGTGTTTATAACAGTGGCGTTGGTGTTCAAAAAGCTCTCATACTACCGTAAAAAAAGACTCGACATCAACTGACCAAAGCAAGTAATGGCATTTACACTTAACCATGCCATATTGTACTTTAGCTAAGAATCTCCGTCTTTAGGACTTCCGCCTTTACGACCCTGATAACAAAGCTTTTGCCGATCGGGTTTCAGAAAAAAGAATAAGAGACAAAAGATTATCTCTGATACATAGCGCGTTACGACCCCGATAAGAAAGCCTTCGTCGATGAGGTTTCGGAAAAAAGGAAAACAGAAAAACATTATCTCTAATATATAACGCTTGAACCCTTGACATGCTATAATCGCTTACACAAAAAACCTAACTGATAAATAACTGCTGTGGTTGCACGTTCGAAAGCCCCGGTACGACTATGAAGCAAGCACAGAGGGGCAACTCCAGGATGTTTCCCACCCTTTTGTGCACCGAAATTTGAGCTGAGATTGGTTTCGGCTAAATGCGGCAACTTTCGCCAATAATGGGAACTTAAATGCGTTCAATGCTATGTGATGCAGTTTTTTCGGTTCATGTGGTAGGACAGGCCGATTGCAGCGCATTCCTTCCCGTGTAATCTGTGTGTTCTATATGGCATCTGTTAGACTATGTTAGACGCAAAAACGAGGAACCTATTTCATGCTTTGGCCTACCTAATTGTTCGCCTCTTCACAATTTGTGCACTCCCCGTACTACGTAATCAGGTTAGTTTACCGCATTTGTAGGCTTGGACACCTGCCACTGTTAAATGGTCTCACTTTCGAAAACCATGCTTGATACGTTGACCTATTGAGTGCACCCAGGTCTGCGCACACAGGCCTACAACATTTTTGTTTGCATCCAAAATGCAGTAGTGACAGCCGGAATTCGATCCTGCGACCTGCGGGTCAGCAGTGGAGTACCTTAGCCACTAGATCACCGCGGCGGAGTGAAATGTGCGTTCGAGAAATTGATTGATATGTGGGGTGTAACGTCCCAAAACCACCGTATGATTATTAGAGACGCCCATTCAAGAAATAATAATATTATTACGTGAGTAACGACTGAATATATTGCAGCTATATTTACAAAAAATATTTGCAAGAGCGGTTGCAGCGCTGGCCAGTCTAGCTCCGAGCTCGAGCAACAAGCGACCTTCATCCATCGGACACACACGCGCACTCGCAATATGCATTGCGGCTGTCTGCATGTAGCAGAACACCCGTCGGCAAAGGCGCCGTTTCGGCGCATCTAGACTCCAACGTCATTGGGCGAGTGGTACTGCTTCAGGCGTGTGACGTGTGCGATGTCGCTGGCCCGAGGGGTGGATGAAGAGGACGAGGCAGCAGGAGCGATTTCATAAGTGACGGGAGTCACTGCACGAAGCACTCTGTATGGGCCTGTTTACGAAGACAGCAGTTGGTCAGACAGACCAACGTGCCTGGTTGGAGACAACAGCAGAACCAACGAACCGAGGGAAAAGCGAACATCATGGTGTGGTTGATCATACCGACGCCGTTGTTTTTAGGAGCTCAGAAGGCGAGCACGAGCGGCTTCGCGTGAGTGGGCGGCCGGGCGTGAGCGGTTGAAGGCACCCGGCCGGAACATCTATGGTGTTTTTCGGCGCTGACATATTTCACATGCCGCGACGTATCTTCGGACGGAGCGTGCGAGACCTGGCCAATAGAAGCGACGGCAAATCCAGTCGTATGTGCGGGACTCGCCGAGGTGACCGGCAGTACGAACGTCGTGTAGTTCGTGGAATATAGCCGAGCGGAGCTGCTTGCGTATGGCAAGCAACAGAGATGGGCCGTCTGGGTGGAAGTTAGGCCATTATAATGTACCATTCCTGAGTACGAACGAGCAGTGGGATCGGTTTGATGGAGAGGAGTCGAGGCGCTCGATGATAGCCCATAAGGCTGCATCACGGCGTGCTCATCGGCTATTTGGGTCAGTTGGGCAACGGAGCACATGCAGGTGTAGTCAGGTACGGCTCTGATTCGCCAACTGGATAGCGAGAAAGGCAATAGGCATCCTGACGCAGGTGTCCACACTTGTATGTTGCAGCAAAGGTGTATTCTTGCAGTCGCAGAGCCCAGCGACCAAGTCCACCGGTGGAATCTGTCAAGGATGAAAGCCGGCAGAGTGCGCGGTGTCGGTGTTGATGGAGAAGTGAGTGCCACATAGACATTAACGGAACTTTGAGACCACCAAGACAAGAGCAGGTATTCTCGTACCTTAATCGAATAGTTGCGATCTGCACGTGTAAGGAGGCGGCTAGCATGGGTGATAACGTGGTCGTGTCCTTGTTGGCGTTCGGTGAGAACGGCCCCGATACCGTTACCACGTGCATTCGCTCCGACCTCGATTTGGGTGGATGGGTCATAGTGGGCCAGGGTAGAGGCGTCGTCAAAAGTGTAATGGGGCGAGAGAAGGGAGCGGCTTGAGTGGACCCCTACGAAAATTGATTGATTTGTGAGGTTTAACGTCACAAAATCACAATATGATTATGAGCGACGCTGTAGTGGAGGGCTCCGGAAATTTCGATTACCTGGGGTTTTTTACGTGCACCCAAGTCTGAGCACACGGGCCTACAACATTTCCGCCTCCATTGGAAATGCAGCCGCCGCCGCCGGGATTCAATCCCGCGACCTGCGGGTCAGCAGCCGAGTCCCTTAGCCACTAGACCACCGCAGCGGGGCGACCCCTACGAAAAAGAGAGCCTTTCTTCACAAGATCGGAAAGTGGTTGGGTGATTGCTGCACACTCTTTCATGACCTGGCTGAGTTAGAAACTGAGTCGCACAAACCTCTGGACGTCTTTGGCGGATTGTTGTACTGGGAAACTCGTGATGGTACGAATTTTCTCAGGATCTGACCACATACCAAAAGCATCGAAAAGGTGGCTCAACACTGGAATCTGTCGGTGGCTGAAGTGAATCTTCGAGGAGCTCAACTGGACTCCAGCATTGTGGAAGGCGTCGAGAATGGCTGACAGACACTCAACGTGGGTCTAAATTGTAGTTTAAAATACGAAGACGACCTCAAGGTAACACAAGCATGTTGACCGTTTGAACCCGTGTAGCAGAGTCCATCATACGTTCAAATGTGGCTGGGGCGTTGCATAGACCAAAGGGCATAACCTTGAATTGGTACGGGCTATCAGGAGTGGCGAAGGTGGCCTTTTCTTGGTCTTTCTCGCCCACGGCAATCTGCCAATAACAAGAGCGAAGGCATGGAGACAATCGAGAGCGTTATCAATACTGGGCAAGGGATACACGTCCTAATTTGTTACTCGATTTAGACAGCGGTAATCATTGCAGAAGCGCCATGTGTTGTCCCTCTTTTTAACCGGGATGACGGGTGACGCCCATGGGCTTGATGAGGGCTGAGTAATGCCTTTAGTTAGCATCTTGTTCACTTCGACTTGAGTAATCTGGTGCTCTGATGCGGACACACGATAAAGTCAGCGGTGAATGGGAGCGGCATCACATGTGTTTGTGCGGAGCTGGACAAGAGAAGTTTTGCCGAGTGGTCGATCGTCAAGATCAAAGATGTCGTGGTAGGAAGCTAAAAGGTGGATGAGGGTGGCTGATTGCGTTGGGGGGTGGTCAGAAGTGATCATGATACCTACTGACATGTCGAGGCATGTGGCGTTGGGTGGTCGACAAGGAAGATTAGTGCATGCTTGAGCTGTTTAAGTGGTGATGTGGTCATTGACTAAGGACCACAACGTGGTGATTAAGATGCCCAGGGAGAACTTGATTCGTGAAGCCGAAATTTATGACGGCTAGATGTATCCAGTCGGTGGCTATAGTTCCGACGCAATGAGGGACGGTGACGTCACGGGCCAGTAGGACATCATGAATGGGCGTGACGATGTAATCCCCATCAGAACGGGTGAGGTCGTGGCGAATTCGGCGAGTGTAACGGATTTAGGGGGTAAGCAGAGAAAATCTGTAGCCCGCATGTAACGTTGAAGTTCAGGTTGAATATCCGGCTGAAGAGGAAGGTCAAAGCAAAGAGTACCAGCGGAACAGTCTAACAGAGCAGAATCGGTCGACCGGAAGTCCATCACAAGATGAGGTTATGAGGACAGTTATGGAGCGCCGTAAATGGGACAGGAACATAGCGGTTGGCGATGCTTATGCAAGCCATACAGATTCCGATGACGGGAACAGTTCCGCCATCAGCGACAAGTACAGATTTTGTAGCAGGAGGCGTGAGTACTTTCCTTAAGCGGCGACAAAGATGAACACTGATTATAAACACGTGAGTGCCAGTATCGACCAGTGCCGTCAAAGAAATACCGTCCGTGTGCACATCGATAAGATTCTTGTTAGTAGGAAGCATTTTTTGTCAGATACGATGGAAATTTGGGCGGCGAGAGATGGCGGCATGGCTGAGGCGACGGGGAACGACAGCATTGAGGGAACAGAAAACGAGCAGGAAGGCGTCTGTTAGGTGTGTCAAAAGCAGGATACATACATCTAGGCGAATACCGG